AGAGGAGAGATAGAGAGATAGAGCGGGGAGATAGAGGGGGGAGATAGATGGGGAGATAGAGGAGAGATAGAGGAGAGATAGAGGGGGGAGATAGAGGAGAGAGATAGAGGAGAGAGATAGAGGGGGAGATAGAGGGGGCGATAGAGGAGAGAGATAGAGGAGAGAGTTAGATGGGGAGATAGAGGGGGGAGAGAGAGGGGGGAGAGAGAGGGGGGAGAGAGAGGGGGGAGAGAGAGGGGGGAGAGAGAGGGGGGAGAGAGAGGGGGGAGAGAGAGGGGGGAGAGAGAGGGGGGAGAGAGATGGAGCGGGGAGATATAGGGGGGAGATAGAGCGGGGAGATAGAGAGATATAGGGGGGAGATGGAGGGGGGAGATAGAGGAGAGAGATAGAGGAGAGAGATAGAGGAGAGAGATAGAGGGGGAGATAGAGGGGGAGATAGAGGGGGAGATAGAGGGGGAGATAGATGGGGAGATAGAGGAGAGATAGAGGGGGAGATAGAGGAGAGATAGAGGAGAGATAGAGCGATAGAGCGGGGAGATAGAGGGGGGAGATAGATGGGGAGATAGAGGAGAGAGATAGAGGGGGAGATAGAGGGGGAGATAGAGGAGAGATAGAGGAGAGAGATAGAGGAGAGAGATAGAGGAGAGAGTTAGATGGGGAGATAGAGGGGGGAGATAGAGGGGGGAGATAGAGCAGGGAGATAGAGGAGAGAGATAGAGGGGGAGATAGAGGGGGAGATAGAGGAGAGATAGAGGAGAGAGATAGAGGAGAGAGATAGAGGAGAGAGTTAGATGGGGAGATAGAGGGGGGAGATAGAGGGGGGAGATAGAGGGAGAGAGAGGGGGGAGAGAGAGGGGGGAGAGAGAGGGGGGAGAGAGAGGGGGGAGAGAGAGGGGGGAGAGAGGAGAGAGATAGAGCGGGGAGATAGAGGGGGGAGATAGAGCGGGGAGATAGAGAGATATAGGGGGGAGATGGAAGGGGGAGATAGAGGAGAGAGATAGAGGAGAGAGATAGAGGGGGAGATAGAGGGAGAGATGGAGCGGGGAGATAGAGGGAGAGATAGAGCGGGGAGATAGAGGAGAGAGATAGAGGAGAGAGATAGAGGGAGGAGATAGAGAGATAGAGAGAGATAGAGCGGGGAGATAGAGGGGGGAGATAGAGGAGAGAGATGGAGCGGGGAGATAGAGGGGGGAGATAGAGGGGGGGAGATAGAGGGGGGAGATAGAGGGAGAGAGAGGGGGGAGAGAGAGGGGGGGGGAGAGAGAGGGGGGAGAGAGAGGGGGGAGAGAGAGGGGGGAGAGAGAGGGGGGAGAGAGGAGAGAGATAGAGCGGGGAGATAGAGGGGGGAGATAGAGCGGGGAGATAGAGAGATATAGGGGGGAGATGGAAGGGGGAGATAGAGGAGAGAGATAGAGGAGAGAGATAGAGGGGGAGATAGAGGGAGAGATGGAGCGGGGAGATAGAGGGAGAGATAGAGCGGGGAGATAGAGGAGAGAGATAGAGGAGAGAGATAGAGGGAGGAGATAGAGAGATAGAGAGAGATAGAGCGGGGAGATAGAGGGGGGAGATAGAGGAGAGAGATGGAGCGGGGAGATAGAGGGGGGAGATAGAGGGGGGAGATAGAGGGGGGAGATAGAGGGGGGAGATAGAGGGGGTGATAGAGGGGGAGATAGAGGGGGAGATAGAGTAGAGAGATAGAGGAGGGAGATAGAGGGGGGAGATAGAGGAGAGAGATAGAGGAGAGAGATAAAGGGGGGAGATAGAGGAGAGAGATAGAGGAGAGAGATAGAGGGGGGAGATAGACGAGAGAGATAGAGGGGGAGATAGAGGGGGAGATAGAGGAGAGAGATAGAGGAGAGAGATAGAGGGGGGAGATAGAGGAGAGAGATAGAGGGGGAGATAGAGGGGGAGATAGAGGAGAGAGATAGAGGGGGAGATAGAGGGGGGAGATAGAGGGGGGAGATAGAGGGGGAGATAGAGGGGGAGATAGAGGGGGAGATAGAGGGGGAGATAGAGGGGGAGATAGAGGAGAGATAGAGAAGGGAGATAGAGGGGGAGATAGAGGGGGAGATAGAGGAGAGAGATAGAGGGGGGAGATAGAGGAGAGAGATAGAGGGGGAGATAGAGGGGGGAGATAGAGGGGGAGATAGAGGGGGAGATAGAGGAGAGATAGAGAAGGGAGATAGAGGGGGGAGATAGAGGGGGAGATAGAGGAGAGAGATAGAGGAGAGAGATAAAGGGGGGAGATAGAGGAGAGAGATAGAGGAGAGAGATAGAGGGGGGAGATAGAGGAGAGAGATAGAGGGGGAGATAGAGGGGGAGATAGAGGAGAGAGATAGAGGAGAGAGATAGAGGGGGGAGATAGAGGGGGGAGAGATAGAGAGGAGGGCTGGGAGAGAGTGAGAGGGCATGAAACGTAGAGGAAAGAGAGAGAGAGAGCACAATGGGTAGAGGAGAGCGAAGGGAAGTGACGGGCAGTGGGAGGGAGGCTTGGGGCGAGGCGAAAGAGATTGAGATGTGAAAGTGGGAGGTGTGAATAATGAGATTGAGATGTGAAAGTGAGAGGTGGGAATAATGAGATTGAGGGTTAGAGAGAGAGAGAGAAGCAGGGAGAGAGACGGGGGAGGCAGGAGAGGAATGCAGAGGTCGAGGTAGAAGATGGACCAGAGGACGGGAGGAACGAAGACAAAGCGATAGAGATGCAGTGTTATACAGTGCAGAGAAGGCTATAGAAAGGTGGAGAGATACAGGGCTGTATATAAGATTAAAACAAGTTTTGCTGGCTGGCTGGGAAGGACGGAGGGACGGTCGGTCACGACCAATTGACATGCGGGTTGCGAGTTTATTATTTAACAACAAACAACCACGGAACTTCTCCATTTCTCCTGTTTGGTAATTCATCAAGAATACATAGCTACCTGCCAGAACATATGCTTCCAAATGCTGTGTTTTTATTTCAAGACTTTGGGCAAAATTGTGGCCAGTGCCTCTGCTCAAATACCATGCACATTTTATTCTTGATTTATGCAATGGGGTACCATTTCAGTATTTCCTAAACTTTAGCACCTGCGAAGTATTATTTCAATGTGGCCATAATTTACTGATGGCAAAGCCTTCCACAGCAGTTTGAATCCTATAGGGTGGCTTGAAAAACACAGAAAAATAGAAATCCCCCCCCCCCCCCCCCCCCCCCCCAAATCAAACAAAATTGTAAAATATATATCTTCTTAAAAGGTGAAAAACTGTAAGCATTCCACAAGTAATTTCACACATGTGTGGCCCCAGTAGAAGCCCGGGTGCACAGCCTGGTGTGTGTGTGTGTGCGGTGTTTACGGAGGGTTTTGTTTCATAAACGGAGTTTTTTTTGTAATCCTTGAACCCAGTCACCCCAGATGTTCCCGTTACAAAAAATCCCGACAAATAAGAGCAGTATCGTTCTTAATTTTTCTTTTCATCATTTTTGAGTGGAATGTTTTTTTTTAAATGTAAAAGTAATTATACAATTATTATTATACAATTATAATTATACAATTATAATTGTATAATAATTTGTATAATTATACAATTGTATAATTATACAATTATAATTATACAATTATTATACAATTATGATTGTATAATAATTATACAATTATAATGGTATGATTGTATAATAATTATACAATTATTATACAATTATAATTGTATAATAATTGTATAATTGTATAATTATACAATTATTGTTGTATAATAATTGTATAATAATACAATTACATGCGACTTATGGCAGGTATGCATTGTAGAGAGACCTGGAGAATCCCCTCTGGTAATTTGGCCTCCTCTTCCACGCTTGCCACATGTGTTGGTCGAGGTAGAGGTATCCACACTGTCCTCCACCACATGTCACATGCCCATCAACCGTAGTGTACCCCTTTATATTGTATATGCACTTATTAAAAATATATATGCATAAGAATGTACAAATATAATTAAATGTTTAACATTTTGTAGGTCCACCTTCCTCATTCCTTCATGAATATGGTCCCTTCTCAATGCTCTCCTAAACTCTGACCACTCACTGGCATTCTCATCGTACTCACTGCAAGGCAGAAGATTCGTGGTCACTATCCAGTGAGCTCATTCAATACGGCTTGAGAGCACTTACTGTCAATGTTTCATTTGCAGACCTCTGTCAATCTGACTCTCCTCTAAGTTCGTCTTGGACATTATATAATCCGTGTCTTCTAGTTCTACCTGGGAATTCGAATATGTAGAGCTTATGTTTAGCCATAAAAGATTGTACTACGGCTAAAGAGATTAACTCACAACTTGAAGGGGGAAGAGTTAAATACATAATTGGGGGTCAAGTCAACCAATGATTCCCCCAGCAGTGATGCAGCTCAATCATGACCACTTTATAGGTAGTCAACAGTGGGGTTGCCACGTTTCAGCTACGTAAACCAAGATATGTCATGGGGGAAAAAAACATCTCACAGCACCATAGGAAGAGAGAATGACACGAACATACATTGTCAACAGCGGCGGTCTTGTGACGCAGCTGATAACAAACAGGACTTGTAATGTTCCCAGGATAACTCGCAGATTCCGCAGGACAGCTGCTTCAAAATGAAAGGTAAATATAAACTTTGCATGTGAAGTGCAGGGTGATTAGATGCCTTAGCATCTCAAATCGCACGGCAGCAGCTGACCCTGCAAGTGCGCATTAGTCTGTCAGTAGCGGGGCGATGCTCCCTACGCGTAATCCCAGCTGAGCAAAGAAAATGATTGTGGAGAACCAGGACTGGTGGTGTAAACCCGAGCGAAGCTGGAAGTTATTCTATCACATTTCCAACACAGCTGAAGGATCACAAATAGAGGTGGGTGCCATCCCATCGTTCATTTGAAGGAGCAAGACTCCCTGACATGATGATTCTCGTTGTGTTAACACTACCGAGCTATTCATTTCATCCGATGTTACCTCCCTGCAAGTCGCTCTCGCCGCATCAGGCGTGCAAGGATACTCTTGGAGCGCTTGGCTGTGCGGAATTCTCCCACCATGAACTTGGAGTATTTAATGACCTCGCGCACGGACTCGGGGCTGGGCGGCTCGCTGAGCTCGCGGATCGCCAGCTTCTTGTCGTCCTGGACAGTCGCGGCAGACGGGGGGGGGGGGGGGGGGGGGGGAGTGGACGAGCGAGTGGGGAGGGAAGCGACAGCAGAGCGAGGGTTAGCCTCGCCACCTCTGAAGTATAAACAAAAACATCGGGACTTATGTGCGTAGGTTTACACTCTTTCGCACCGTACGTAGGCAACCGTTCTCGTCGGAGGTGCGGGGGAAGGACAACAAAATAACACGAAAGGCAGTTCTAAACAAGTGAGTTTTCAATCAGGATGATTTAAAAGTGCTTCCTAATATTGGAAGGAAGCGCTTTCCAGACGGCCGCAGAAGCGCATCTGAGAACGCGGTGCAGTGACCGAGGCAAAGCCGTCGCTGCTGCTGCTGCTGCGAGGATGAGCGGAGTTGACTCACTACGGGTAAAGAAGAATATCTCCCAATACCGGATGGAAGAGGGGAGAGAAGCACACACGGATGTATTGTCCTGAGTGGTGTATTGTTACGCAACTGATAACAAAGGGGACTTTGTTATACCCAGGAAAGCCTCACTCTGTTAACATTCTTTTACAGGAGGGTTCTGCCAAGTTCTCGCAGGAGGGGAGGATGCTAAGAAGTTTAATTCCAGTTGAGTAGCTGTGAGGTCATTCTTCTGCATTGGGGTGTTTGTCTATTACCAGGTGCACTGTATGCGTTATCTTTCATTTTTAGTTGTCTGTGAATTTGTAATGAGAACACTTTTACACATTTCCCAAACCAGCTCCCTGCAAGAGAGAATTATCGTGGGGAAAAAAACCCGGACAAGTGGCAACCCCAGCTGAGGTTCCACCACCAGTCAAAACAAGGCGCGCACCGGGTGACGTTCCGCTCAGCGTCGTCAACTGTCTCCGTTATGTCGTCTATAATTATACACAACCCTCATCAACGTAATCAGTTGTCAGCAGGCATCACAGACCGTGACTGTCGGCCAACCCCCCCCCAGTGCCGTGCGTCTTCAAGGGCTCTTGTCGCTCGCTCGGCGTCTGTCTCCAGAGTCTCCGTGCGCGATTCTATTTTGTTCGTCAAAGATTTTTGACGTCGCTCGCGAGCAGCTGACGAGCAGCCCGGAGTGGCGACACCACTGGAGTGGCGTTGTCCTCGCCATAAAAGAGGCTTGTCTGGGTTAGATCGCGTAAATATATAAATGTGTCGTTAAAACCCGCCACCACCCGACACAGCCAATTAGTAAGGGTTGTCACGTAAACAGAACGTGCCACTTCGTCACTAGTAAAGCACGCCGGTGTGTTGAGGGAGCCAAGCCACGACATTTACAATCTGAGTACGACGTTTCGCCAGCAAGAGCACGGAAGTGCTCAGATTGTAAATGTTGTGGCTTGGCTCTCCAACACACCGGTGTGCTGTACTAGTGACGAATTGGCTACGTTCTGTTCCCGTGACAAACCTCGCTAATTGGCTGTGTCGGGTGGTGGCGGGCATAACGACACATTTATATATTTACGCGATCTAACCCAAAAACCCCTCTGTTATGAGTTTTAGTCCAAGGTGCTGGGTGGACGTGGCGACTTCCCAGGCACTGGAAGTCGCTCGGCACCGCGCGGCCTCACAAACAGCCGCCATGGCCTCCAGAGTGGTGCTTGCTAATAACTGTCCGGAAAGCCAATACACTCAAGTACGGTCATTCCCTAGAACAGTGCTTCCTAACCTTCACTGCAGCCTTGCACCCCTTTGCTTCTGAATCGTAAACAAATGTACAATGTTAATAAATACATCGGTTTGATGAAGCAAAGTAGTTGTGCTCTCGATAAATTACCTTAAAAAAATCCGGCATGTCTCACACCCCCAGAAAGGGCATCTCACACCCCCCAGGGGGTGCGTGCTGAACCCCCTGGGGGGGTAAGAAGAAGAAGAAGCACTGTCTCAGAGCGTCTCACCAGGTGTTGGCTCTGGCAGTGGCAGCAGTGGCAGGTGAAGAAGTACATCTCCCGCAGACGCTCGTTGCGATCCTCCGTCGGGTACAGCAGATCAATGTAGCTGATGAACAGCTGTAGGGACGGCCAGTCATGTGAGACGCTTGCACAGCACAGAGGAAGCTCACGCGTTTTTGGCCATCTCTGTGGATTAGAGTGTGGCTGATGGAATGTGCATGAATCTGTTTCTACGATTTCAAGTGTATCATCATCTTGCACAGGCAGTGATTTAATTTCAGCCGGTAGAGTCCGACACACAGTTCCTGGAATTATTGTGGGAGTATTATTTTTTAATTGTCATTTTGGTTATAAAACTGTTCATGGCAATAGAGGGTACAATAATATACAATTATTCCGTGTACTTTTGAATCTAGTGGTCGGGCCTTACACTGATAATCCCTACTGCAAGCCTACCATTGTTATGGTAAATATCGAGTGAGAAAATTATTCCTGTGCTGGATTTCGGAGCTTGGAATAGTACAGCAGGAGGCGTTTCTGCACTCGTGACTGCTGACATCATAGCCACGCAGCAGCCTACGCACCCGTTGTATGTGTCGTGGTCGCCCATCCAAGCACTATCCAGGTTCAACCGCACTTAGCCTCCAATATCTGAGTCATAGATTCATCTTGACCATCAATAAATGTACCAAAGTTTACAATGGCCTTCGTGTACGCTTGAGTTGGCGAATGAAGACAATGTCATGGCAAAAACGAATCATACGACCGTGCAGTTTTACATGGTAACTCATCGAGAATATTTTTCAAGAGCAATCCATTCCTACAAGAATCAAAAGCCAAATAAAGCATCGTGTGATCCTCATCTCTGTTGGTAATTCTGGACCAGTGGTGACATTCCATATTTCCACATGACACAGAATGACTACTACGAACTTGTCACAGGACGGCACTCGTGACGTTGACCCCCAGCTCATGAGGACGATGGGCCAAACGAACCCCCCAATTGACATTTGAGGTCCCATTCTCCCAGCTGTGAGTTGACAGCTCAGCCACGTGGCTTCTCTCACCAGATTCTACAACAGCAATACATCCCACGTGACCCTTGCCAAAGAGACCACGTGACCCTTGCCAAAGAGACCACATGACCCTTGTCAAAGAGGCCACGTGACCCTTGCCAAAGAGACCACGTGTATCTCGCGTCTCGACGGGCCGATATGTCGTCTGCGCGTTAAGGAAACTACCACTAGACTCTAATAATACCAATATAATAATACCACTGTTCTCGTGTGTAAGAGTCAAATACTGAAACAATTGGCAACAATAATAATAATAATACTAAATTTTGATTTAAAGCTTTCGTGACTGCAGTAATTCATATTCTTAGTTTTTTCGGTAAAGTCACGTTGAAAGGAAACAACAAAACAATAAAATATATATAAAACAATAAAAAATTCTCACGACGTTTCGACCATAACTCAAACGGTCGTCTTCAAACCAACACACCTGAAGACGACCGTTTGAGTTATGGTCGAAACGTCGTGAGAATTTTTTTATTGTTTTATATATATATTTTATTGTTTTGTTGTTTTCCTTCAACGTGACTTTACCGAAAAAACTAAGAATAATAATACTATTCTTTGGGTCATTCGGTAAAGGCACATAGATAAATAATAATAACAATAAATAATAATAAATAATAGCGGAAGGGCGCATCAACTCTCCCGCTATTTGTTCACCTGATGACGATTGCTTGTGTTGCGATCGAAACGTCGTGATATTTTTGTTTTATTTTTCTTCTATCTACGTGACTTCATCGAAAGACTCAAAGAATATGAATTCCTGCAGTCACGAAAGCTTTAAGTTAATACTCATACTGCAATATTTTACAAACATAGTAGTAATGTATTTATTTCCCAACAATTCTACAGTAATCTGCAATAACATTATGGTAATATTTTACAACAGCAACAACAACACTGATACATTTTACAATATCAATAATGATCGCCTCAGTATTTCAGGACGTTGACACTCGTTTATCCGTGACCTGATAATTATCCGTGAATGTATTTATCCAGCGTCGGCAAACCCGGTTCTCTCTCTGTCTGCCCGCTCACCCCGATAAACAAAGTCTCCCGGCAATGGGTCTGCAAGCTTCAGCTACTAGGTACGGCTCACTATTATTGCTGAGCCTGTTGTTTTAAAATCAAATTAACTCTAGCAGCTAAACGACTCTGAAGGACACAAATCACGAGACATCAACCTCCTGCGTTGTCTGGCCGCCTGCATTCAACCGCAGCTGTACCACACGTGCTGTGTATTAGACACGTGTTGTGTATAAGACACGTGCTGTGTATATGACACGTGTTGTGTATGAGACACGTGCTGTGTATAAGACACGTGTTGTGTATTAGACACGTGCTGTGTATAAGACACGTGCTGTGTATATGACACGTGTTGTGTATGAGACACGCGCTGTGTATAAGACACGTGCTGTGTATGAGACACGTGCTGTGTATATGACACGTGCTGTGTATGAGACACGTGCTGTGTATAAGACACGTGCTGTGCATAAGCCACGTACTTTGTATATGATAGTGTTGTGTATAAGACACGTGCTGTGTATATGACACGCGCTGTGTATATGACACGTGCTGTGTATGAGACACGTGTTGTTTATGAGACACGTGCTGTGTATATGACACGTGCTGTGTATGAGACACGTGTTGTTTATGAGACACGTGCTGTGTAGGCTGCATACCACCGTGTTGGAGGAGCCTCGTGTTTTTTAGAGAGCGGCGTTGGTTGTGTGTGGTGCCAACCTGCGTGGGAAGCGTGCCCAGTTTGGGTTTTCCAAGTAAACCAACTGGTGCATTCCTCAATGTCATCATTTCCGAGTGCTTCCATTAGTCGCCCTTTGTTCCCTGATAATTATTGACAGTAATTGTGGCTGCACCTGCACATTCTGGCATGCGAGAGCACAGATAACCTCAGTCTGATTACCCCCCCCCCCCCCCTTAAGGAACAGATTTGTAGAGGCGGGTTAGTGTGATTATTTATAGCCCTGTAAGAGTATTCGTGTTTTAGGGTGCTCCGCGCACCTCCGATTAGCACGGTTGGTCACGTAGGGTGCGACATAAGTCCAACACCGTAGATACACACACGGAGAGTGGCAGGTTTGTTTTAGAAAGGCGTGACACACATGAATGGCCCCACTATGTTAGTCGTTGCCTTGGCTGCTACTGCCCCCTGCGGGGACTGCCTTGCTTCCACGCGGGTCAGCCCACCCGTGCGTTATTGCCCACTTCCAATGGTAGAGCAAACGGAGGCGGTGGTGTCGTTCATTGTACTGATGTCTGCTAAGTGAAGCTACCTTGCTGGCTCTGAAGTGCCTGAGTGGCCTTAGTGGGACAACTCTGGTTCTGTATGGAAGCAGTGATAATGGGGGGCGCATGCCGTGAGGTCTTTTCGAGAGGCGGATTTACACAATCGGGAGAGAGATGATCGTTGTTGGGCAGAGACAACGGGAAAACACAACGGGAAACGTTTACGTCGACCAATTGGGGAAGGCAGATTGAGATCAAAGAGGTCGAGAGGCGGGGGAAAGTATCCTGGCGTGGTTTTTGTTTTGTCAGATTGAATGTGACAACGAAACGCAACACGTGGGTGTTGTCTAAAGAGGAACGTTTTCAATCGGCGCACGCTGCCGGCTCTAATATACATCTAGGAAGCATGGACACTCCTCAATAACGATGTAACTTGACAATCATCCAGTCTGCAAGACTGCGAGGGAACGTCCTGTCAGTGAACACCGGTCGCCTTTGACACTCCGAGCCAAGAGAGGAATCATTCTCGGCAGCGTCGTCCGCACACGCGCGCGCGAAGTGATGGATGGGGTTGTGAGACAGCGCCATGCTCGTGACACGTGTCTACGCCGTCTTTAACACTGACACACATGCACGGTCATCGTTACAGATGGCATCCACACACATGCACACACACACACACGAAGACCGTTGCGGCAAGTGCTGTCACCTATTGAGGCTGGCACTCTCCCAATGCTGATGTTTGTGCATTGCGCCAGGTAGTCATTGAAGTCTGAGACGACACTGATCGCCACTGATGATGTTGTCCGTGAAGATAAGACGAACTCGGGTTCCCAGGTGTTTTGCGCAGTGCGCGAACTTCTGCACCTTACCCCATTGACAAGGATGTCGTTCACACAGCGGACACACGCGGAGCCAACCCGTACCTCCTCCCCTTGCTTTATCTCCCGGAGAGCTCTGACTTGAGCAGCGCTGCCTCTGAACGTCACCACGCAGTTGTGGTCACAGCTGTGGTTGAGCAGAGCGAGGCTGTGGCGGGGACGGGGGAGGGAAGTGCCACAAGTGGGTTCAGAGCAAAGAGCCGCACCTCTGGTGAAGACGATCGGGGCGTGTGCCGGCATGCCGCGGTGGCAGTGAGCAGGGCAAGCAACGTGGACAGTTGTGGCCCGTGGTGGAAATGAAATGTGGGGGACTAAACGTCCCTGAGACCCCGAGTGGGGCGGCGAGGGCCTTCTGAAACTACCACTCAGGCCACGAGCCAATCGGGCGGCAGACAACATACATGTAGAAGATGAATCTGTATTTATACCGGAGGTATACATAGTGGCAACCAACATGCATGTAGAAGTCGAATCTGTATTCATACCGGGAGGTATACATGGTGGCAGACAGCATGCATGCAGAAGATGAATCTATATTTATACCGGGGAATCCGATGAGCTATGTAAATGTCTTTTCCACGGATGTCAATTCGTCACGGTCGGCACTGCATACGTACAATACGGTATATGGTATATACAATACGGTATATGGTATATACAATACGGTATATGGTATATACAATATTGTATATACAATATGGTATATACAATATGGTATATGGTATATACAATATGGTATATACAATACGGTATATGGTATATACAATAAGGTATATACAATACGGTATATGGTATATACAATAAGGTATATACAATACGGTATATGGTATATACAATATGGTATATGGTATATACAATATGGTATATACAATATGGTATATGGTATATACAATATGGTATATGGTATATACAATATGGTATATGGTATATACAATATGGTATATTGTATATACAATATGGTATATGGTATATACAATATGGTATATGGTATATACAATATGGTATATACAATATGGTATATACAATACGGTATATGGTATATACAATATGGTATATGGTATATACAATATGGTATATACAATATGGTATATACAATACGGTATATGGTATATACAATATGGTATATACATGTCTGTAGGCACACACACACACATTGTCTGTGTATGTTGAACTTATTTTGCACCGTACGTAGTCAACCGTGCTAATCGGACGTGTGGGGATATATATATAAAATTATATAATGATACATGTGTAACGACTCGCCCCTTGGGAAATCGATTACATTTGGTAGTTCAGGGCTGTGTTTTGGATTCATGAATGGATTATTATTTTTTAAATCAAATGTTTACCATCTCATCTGTAGTGCTCTCTCTTGATTGTTTTAGCTCATTCGTATAGTTGCATTCACCACATCGGTCTAACTCTAATGCTCACATATAATTTGCACAAATCTGAAAACTACTGATTCTTACACGTGTGATTTGACGTATTTGTATCATTAAGAATCAAAATGTATTTATCAATGCGTTGTCACTTCATCATCATCATCATCGTCGTCGTCAGCCGTAATCGATCCACTCGCGGATGAAAGCCTCCCCAAACTGTCGCAGTCTCTCACAGTCCTGCGACGCGGTGACCCACCGAGGAAACGGACACACGAGCTGATTGTGCGTCGCTCCATCCCGAGCGAGGGCGGCTGCGAAGTGAGAGAGGCCGGGCCCATCCGGCTGAGTGCAGTGAGGACACACCTTGGATACAGGGCAGCCCCAATGTGGTTAAGCTCTTCATCCTCCACTGTGAATCCGTTGCATTTCACCTGCTCATCAGTCAAAGAGGGGAGACAAAACCCCACGTTACTGGATGTCAGCACTCGCCAGAGTTTCTCCAAAGCGGCTCACAGCAGCCAGCCGTGCGGTAGACAAACCACGCCTGTGGCGTGCGAAACGTGAGCACGGGGGCAGTGTCGCATGCTGAGCCGGGCCGTTCTCTGTCAGGTGCAGGCTCGCAACCGTCACAAGGGATTTAGTTTGCTGCCTCCATCAATGCATAATAAATAAATCACTCTCCGTGTTTTTGTATATTGATCGATTCATTGAAACAAACAAAAACTCATCACATATGTCAATACGTCTGCAATAAAAAGGAAAAAAAATATTTCTTAAAGGTGACGTTTCGGACAACGTCCCTTCTTCACAGCACGTGAATGAGCGCATCGCTCACGTGCTGCGTGGTGCCCTGACCACTCACGTGATGCCCTGACCACTCACGTGATACCCTGACAACTCACGTGCTGCGTGATACCCTGACCACTCACGTGATGCCCTGACCACTCACGTGATACCCTGACCACTCACGTGCTGCGTGGTGCCCTGACCACTCACGTGCTGCGTGATACCCTGACCACTCACGTGCTGCGTGATACCCTGACCACTCACGTGCTGCGTGGTGCCCTGACCACTCACGTGATGCCCTGACCACTCACGTGATGCCCTGACCACTCACGTGATACCCTGACCACTCACGTGCTGCGTGATACCCTGACCACTCACGTGATACCCTGATCACTCACGTGAGGAATAAGGTTGGAACGAGAAATCGTAAAACAGAGAGGATCCGTTAGAGGGGAAGGACAGGGATTGGCTCAAGGTAAAAAAAAAACAACGAGGGCAAGAAGAGTAAGGACAAGAAGAGTAAGGACAAGAAGAGTAAGGACAAGAAGAGTAAGGACAAGAATAAGGACAAGAAGAGTAAGGACAAGAAGAGTAAAGACAAGAAGAGTAAGGACAAGAAGAGTAAGGACAAGAAGAGTAAGAAGAGTAAGGACAAGAAGAGTAAGGACAAGAAGAGTAAGGACAAGGAGAGTAAAGACAAGAAGAGTAAAGACAAGAAGAGTAAGGACAAGAAGAGTAAGGACAAGAAGAGTAAGGACAAGAAGAGTAAGGACAAGAAGAGTAAGGGCAAGGACAAGAAGAGTAAAGGCAAGAAGAGTAAGGACAAGGAGAGTAAGTGCAAGAAGAGTAAGGACAAGAAGAGTAAGTGCAAGAAGAGTAAGGACAAGAAGAGTAAGGACAAGAAGAGTAAGGACAAGAAGAGTAAGGACAAGAAGAGTAAGGACAAGAAGAGTAAGTGCAAGAAGAGTAAGGACAAGAAGAGTAAGGACAAGAAGAGTAAGGACAAGAAGAGTAAGTGCAAGAAGAGTAAGTGCAAGAAGAGTAAGGAGAAGAAGAGTAAGGACAAGAAGAGTAAGTGCAAGAAGAGAAAGGACAAGAAGAGTAAGGACAAGAAGAGTAAGGACAAGAAGAGTAAGTGCAAGAAGAGTAAGGACAAGAAGAGTAAGGACAAGAAGAGTAAGGACAAGGAGAGTAAGGACAAGAAGAGTAAGGACAAGAAGAGTAAGAAGAGTAAGGACAAGAAAAGTAAGGACAAGAAGAGTAAGGACAAGAAGAGTAAGGACAAGAAGAGTAAGGACAAGAAGAGTAAGGGCAAGAAGAGTAAGGACAAGAAGAGTAAGAAGAGTAAGGACAAGAAGAGTAAGGACAAGAAGAGTAAGGACAAGGAGAGTAAAGACAAGAAGAGTAAGGACAAGAAGAGTAAGGACAAGAAGAGTAAGGACAAGAAGAGTAAGGACAAGAAGAGTAAGGGCAAGGACAAGAAGAGTAAAGGCAAGAAGAGTAAGGACAAGGAGAGTAAGTGCAAGAAGAGTAAGGACAAGAAGAGTAAGTGCAAGAAGAGTAAGGACAAGAAGAGTAAGGACAAGAAGAGTAAGGACAAGGAGAGTAAGGACAAGAAGAGTAAGGACAAGAAGAGTAAGGACAAGAAGAGTAAGGACAAGAAGAGTAAGGACAAGAAGAGTAAGGACAAGAAGAGTAAGGACAAGAAGAGTAAGTGCAAGAAGAGTAAGGACAAGAAGAGTAAGGACAAGAAGAGTAAGGACAAGGAGAGTAAGGACAAGAAGAGTAAGGACAAGAAGAGTAAGAAGAGTAAGGACAAGAAAAGTAAGGACAAGAAGAGTAAGGACAAAAAGAGTAAGGACAAGAAGAGTAAGTGCAAGAAGAGTAAGGACAAGAAGAGTACGGACAAGAAGAGTAAGGACAAGAAGAGTAAGAAGAGTAAGGACAAGAAGAGTAAGGACACGAAGAGTAAAGACAAGAAGAGTAAAGACAAGAAGAGTAAAGACAAGAAGAGTAAGGACAAGAAGAGTAAGGACAAGAAGAGTAAGGACAAGAAGAGTAAGGACAAGAAGAGTAAGTACAAGAAGAGTAAGGACAAGAAGAGTAAGGACAAGAAGAGTAAAGACAAGAAGAGTAAGGACAAGCAGAGTAAGGACAAGAAGAGTAAGGACAAGAAGAGTAAGGGCAAGAAGAGTAAGGACAAGAAGAGTAAGGACAAGAAGAGTAAAGGCAAGAAGAGTAAGAACAAGAAGAGTAAGGACAAGAAGAGTAAGGACAAGAAGAGTAAGGGCAAGAAGAGTAAGGACAAGAAGAGTAAGGACAAGAAGAGTAAGGACAAGAAGAGTAAGAAGAGTAAGGACAAGAAAAGTAAAGACAAGAAGAGTAAAAACAAGAAGAGTAAGGACAAGAAGAGTAAGGACAAGAAGAGTAAGGACAAGAAGAGTAAGGACAAGAAGAGTAAGAAGAGTAAGGACAAGAAGAGTAAGGACAAGAAGAGTAAGGACAAGAAGAGTAAAGACAAGAAGAGTAAGGACAAGAAGAGTAAGGACAAGAAGAGTAAGGACAAGAAGAGTAAGGACAAGGACAAGAAGAGTAAGGACAAGAAGAGTAAGGACAAGAAGAGGGACTGAGAAGTATAAAAGGAGAGAGCACGAGGAGTGGGTACGTTGGGAGGATGTTGCAAGCCAGAGACAACGCATGGAGCCTGGGCCTCTTCTTTCTCCTTCGTCGTCTCAGTCGTTACATATTTATCATTTTGCTTTTCGGGCCGTAGTGTAGTTTTATTGTAGAATGTATTGAGGTTTTTTTTGCGAATTGAGATTTTGCACCACTACCAAAGCAGCATCACCAAAAAATAATATGCATTAACATATATGTTTAAATATAAATGTACGCACGTCTACATTTATACATATATACTTTGCACTGTAGTAAAGTTATCGTGCTTAGATTGCAAATGTATACATTGACATCTTGTAAGGTGGTCAGCTTGGGGAGCAGCATCTCCAGATGCTATTCAGGAATAACTATTTACAGCAGTGTTCTTCACTAATTTTCAGAGGGGAGCCACTTTCACCCACAAGACCAATGGATTTGACAGCAGCGTGATGTGGGCTGAAGGCCACCGCCAGGGGCAAGCCAGTGGCTCTCGGGCCTTGCAAATGAAGAACTTTGATTTACATCGACGAACACTTCACAGGGCAACGCCCGTGTTTGGTGCCTCGATGCAGAGGAGGAGAGGTGCAGACCTTGGAAAATATCTCCACCATCTCCTCGTTCCCGGGAATTTCCAGCTGTCGCGAGTAGTAGTGGTGCAGGGCCGTGATCTCCTGCCCGATGGCCTCCCTCTGCTCGTTATCCAGCTCCTCCATATCTGCCGGGAATCCAGCCACGCAGGAGGGTTAACATTGTCCACTTGCACTCGTGTTTAATAATACTGTCACATGGGGTAAAGGTGCAGCCCTGAAAGTGTGTGCTCACGCAGCTACTAGCAGAAAGGCCTCTACTAGAAGGAGCTCCAGAGAGAGGGTGTTTGGCCTACTCTTCCACGCTGGCAAAACATATTGGAATAGGGGTGGTTACCGATGCTTTATTTCAGCACACCCAACCTACAGCTTAAATAATTCTGGTGTCCCCATTCATACTGCTGAGTGGACAGACGGTGCAGAGATTTAATAAATTTGTTCAATTGTTTAAACTTTAGCCACTAAAGAATGAATCAGCAAACTATTGATTGCAGTTCCAATGTGCTAACAATTGAATCACAGCAGCAGAATTAATACTGTTGAATGACTGTTTTTCCCCCCAGAAAGCTTCCTAGAGTCTCAAGACACTCTCTGTTGGGCCCTGCTTTGGGGGTTTTGACCAATTCATTTTTAATCGGCATTTTCAGCGTGGGAGGGAAGGCGATAACCCGACAATAGCCACGCATCACAATGATTAGCACGGTTGGCTACGTACAATGTGAATTAAGTATAACATACATACACTAATAACTGTCCACGCAGCACTACAAATGGCACCGCGGCATAAGTAATTGATCATCATGGAAGTTCGCAGCAATCTCAGAAATCTGAAATTCCGTGTTCCACTTATTTACGAGGCAGCTGGCGCATGCAGCCATGTGGTGGGATGTCCGCTCCGTGTCTCGCTTACGTGACTCCATCTCCTCAAGCGTCAACAACCCCTCTGAAGCACACTTATCTTTGTTCATCTTCTGTCACAAACACAACACATGGTAAACTTTGCTAAGTAGTATTAAACAATCACGTTGACATACTGAGCGTGTTTATTGCATATCATTTTGTTATATATACATGTATGTATAAATACACACGTGTGTGTGTGTGAAATCAGAGCATGAGCGAGACGGACTAGCTTGATGAGAATCCGGGCAACCAGCCTCACTCTCTCCCCAGGTGTCCACTGTGGGCCCAGCTGCCGCAGGCCGTCACAGTCCAGCCTGTGTGATGGCCAATCGGCTCGCTGGCAAACAACAACACACACACAGACACACACACACAAAGATCAAAGACACACACACACAGACAGACACACACACAGACACACACAGACAGACACACAAACACACACACAGACACACACACAGACAGACACACACACAGACAGACACACACACATAGACAGACACACACACAGACACACACACAGACACACACACAGACAGACACACAAACACACAGACACACACACAGACAGACACACACAGACAGACACACACACAGACACACACACAGACAGACAGACACACAGACACACACACAGACACACACGATGTTGATCACGAGTCAAGCAACCGATCACATCAAACAAACGCTCAATGGCAACTGGTGTAGGCCTTTAGCGGGTTGTAGGTTTATACATATATACATATCTCTGTGTGGTGTTGTTTTTGGGTTTGTACCGCTTGTTGTTTGGCATTATACGTGAATTTTTACTGCACGCGCTGGGAGCTTCTTCGGCAACGGTATTTAATTAAAGAAGCTCTTCGTGCATCAGGCGAGAGTCAGCCACAATGCCGAATAGTCACGTGGTACACACTGGGGAACGATCAAGGATGCTCCTCACATTTAAACACAGCATGCAGCAGCGTCTTGGCAACACTTGTGTAAATGGTTACAGTACCTGCATTAAATAATGTGTTACATTAATGTCGCGGATGTTAACATTTCATCCTAATATGGTGTGGTGTAGAAAATGCACTCGTTTCACTTTGGTTCGCATATGGGTATACAAATGAGCACTCTAACCGCAATGAATAACTAAACAGAACAGTGTGCTTACAGAGAAGCTTGTCAATCAGTGTATATCACTTGCACTGACAATTCGACTATAACAATGGGTAATTATTAAAAAAATATATGGGGACCCAAAACGAATAAGCGCACACAGAAGCGTGGAGAGATGGTGCTTCAGAGACAGCGAGATTACCGTCTCGTTTACTCAACATAAACACAAGCAGGTTCGTGGCAAACTGTTCAAATAAAAGTCGACTTGGGCAGGAGACTTTCCAAGAAGAGATGATAGCCCAAGCTCAGGACTCGTGTAGGAGGAGCAGCCAAATGAGTAAACACGCGACACGTGACATCGAGCACGGAGATGGAGCGACAACAACAGCGCTCGTGCAGGTGATAAATGGGTTGTTGCTACATCGCCGCATCCTGAGGAATCATTACAGCTTCGGCAGGTCTTCAGCCGTGGATTGATCATGAATGATCAATAGTACGTGTCCAAAAAGGTTGAATAATGAAGATCTGTGCGTCAATTTAGTTATATTTTAAACGGTGTAAACAAAATCGAGTTGTGACCAAATTTGTTTAGATCAGAACACAATCTGCAAGAGACACCCTGGTGTAAACAGAACGTATGCTTCGTAATGAGTCTGTGCAGAACGAATTCAGCGGTAATCAGATCTCTGGCCAATACTAACATTAATCATATCATCCATGCTAAACATGGCAAATCAGGTATCTAGGTAGGAAATGTATCATAGCGCGGGCAGTTAATAACATCCTGAGGGACTTCCACAGGCCGTTCATTGAACAATGAACGCACGCAATTTTTAGGTGGCAGAGTAACGCCGCAATTAGTGGCACGTGGAATTAAATGAGTTGCGTGGAAAGCAACATTTTTTTTCATTCCAAGGGAACAACAGAGACACTCGCTCCTTTGGGATTGTTTTCGCAACGTGTTGTTATACACAAAGCCGAAATGACCACAAACTGTGGAAAACGCAGACTTTGAAAATAACCCAGAAATAAATATATATAGCGAACACAGCACGGACGCTTTTCTGCAGCGTTAATTCGAAATGTGAGTTTCTACGCTTTTCATCACTCATGTGCACACTTTTATTTTATTTGTCAAAATGGGTAGAGAATGCTTGAATGCAAGTACCATGTTGGCTTGCCTAGTATCACCAGGGAATGCAGATGCATTTTTAAAAGTATTCTCATCCCACTGAAACAATATCAATATTTATTACCTAAACACAAAATCATGTTCAATAGGATCCCATATGTTATATGGAGTGATCTTGCCAATACCATATGATGTGTAACAAGCCTGACTGTTGATGAGACCCATGCGTTTGACACTGGTCAAGAATTTGTTTGCTTCAACAAATTCTGCTTGATATTGTTTTTAAGAGCCAGTAGGCTTATTGATTCAACATCTTGTGGATTTGGCCATTGGTGTGTCATCATCATCCATGATCAATCCAATACTAGATCAAGGCCTTCTCGAGCCATCGCTATGTCATGAACCTGTGATGTAATAATCCACCTGCAACTGCACATATCCAGAGAGTATGTTCTGTTTCTTGGTAAGAAGGGTAATGTGCAGCAGTCATTATAGAAAGACCTTTTTTAACCTGCAATATTGCAATTATAGAGTTATTATGAAGTAACTGCAAGTGTGTGGGTATCATCATGAAGAGAGGGCATCGCAGCTGAACACCAGTGAACGTCTGAGACCATTCATCACTATTATTATCAATGACAGTACAGTTAAAGGTTTAAATGGCATGCGATGGAGATAGTGGCTTGTAACCAGCGTCCTTCACTATTAAAATAACCCTCAATTAAGCACAGTAGCACATGCGCTGCGCTGATGGTATTTATAGCGTGGCCTGCATTCCTGTCCATGTAAGTTAGAGCAGTGGCAGCAGCTGAAGCTGCTGATGTGATGTCTGGCCTGCACAACCAGTCCAACTGACAGATCATAATTATGGCAACACTACTCGATTGCTGTGCTTCGTCATGGATTGTTATTGTATCGTTATTAAGACGACGCTTGTTTACCTAGAAGAGCCTCTCTGTATCTCAAGGCTCTTTCTCAGGAGGGTCCTGCCAAGTTTTCCCAGTCGTGGGCAATGTGACTGCCATCCGTCATCCCAATTGACAAATATGCAAGCGATTGTTCAGCATTGTGATGTTTGGCCAATACCAGTTACAAAGGGTTTTATTTAGCTTTGTTAAGAAACTGGAGCATCCAAAGGAAAGCATACAGATCGGGGGAAATGTACAAAGTCCACATGTAAAGGCGCTTAAATTGGGAATCGAACTCAGGCCCTTCTTGCTGTGATGTGCGAGTGTTACTACTGTGGCGTGAACAATTCCATAGACTATTTCATCTCATGAAGTTTAATATTTCAGGTAAAATATAGCACGTGGAAACATTTATAGGTTGTTGTATATGAGCGTGAAACACAAACAATGGGAAACAAAGTTACACACACAAACAATGGGGAAACCAAGTTACACACACAAACAATGGGGAAACCAAGTTACACACACAAACAATGGGGAAACCAAGTTACACACACAAACAATGGGAAACCAAGTTACACACACAAACAATGGGGAAACCAAGTTACACACACAAACAATGGGGAAACCAAGTTACACACACAAACAATGGGGAAACCAAGTTACACACACAAACAATGGGGAAACCAAGTTACACACACAAACAATGGGAAACCAAGTTACACACACAAACAATGGGGAAACAAAGTTACACACACAAACAATGGGAAACAAAGTTACACACACAAACAATGGGAAACAAAGTTACACACACAAACAATGGGAAACAAAGTTACACACACAAACAATGGGGAAACAAAGTTACACATACAAACAATGGGAAACAAAGTTACACACACACAAACAATGGGAAACAAAGTTACACATACAAACAATGGGAAACAAAGTTACACACACAAACAATGGGAAACAAAGTTACACACACAAACAATGGGGAAACAAAGTTACACACACAAACAATGGGAAAACAAAGTTACACACACAAACAATGGAAAACAAAGTTACACACACAAACAATGGGAAACAAAGTTACACACACAAACAATGGGAAACAAAGTTACACACACACAAACAATGGGAAACAAAGTTACACATACACAATGGGAAAACGAAGTTACAAGTACTCCTCTTGGTGTTCTGTTAATCACAGTGCAGAACTGCATTTGTTAAGCAAGATTGTAGTTGAGGCCGCCTGTTAGTAGTACCTGGCACTGTGCATTGCAGTAATACGCCTGCTTACATTTCCCACAGTGAGACAGCTTATCCTTCCTGCGGGGAAAAACGCCAAAACACATCACATTCATACCGATCATTCACCTTCCTGCTCACGTTAATATTTGTATACAACACTGCATGCACTCACCCTGAGAGAGGGAGTTGTTCCACAACATGACTTGTCCTATGCAAAACATGTAAGCCTACAAATCAAGTGTGAATGTGCAGCCCTGCAATTGCCTGTTCACGTCACTGCGTCCAGAAGGGCCTCCAACAGAGGTAACTTTATTGAGTCCCTCTGGAGGCTACCTTGGCCTACTCTCTCACGCCGGTGGTCAGGCGTTTTGTAATGTTTGTAATGCTTGACGCAGCGTCGTACACGGAAATGACGTTTCATCATCACTCAGAAACAGCAGATAAGCTGTAAGGCAGCCAGGCGGTCAGCTGGCAAACAACATTTGCCCAAGCTCTGCAGTCCTCTGTGGCTTAAGATGTTTCAGCTAAGGAGTATTCACAGGTGTAAAATTGTCGGGAGTAACCTACACTTTACCGTACCACAGCGAACCTGCCAATCGACTGCTGGGTGCACAGAGTTTTGAGGATTTAAGACATTTTAGTGAATGTTTTTCATCGTTTCATAGTTTCATTTATTTGGTATAGCCCTGTGAGCCATTCGGCTCTTGAATCGGGTGCAACCACAACAAACAAAAAAAACAAAAATATGAACAATAAAACATCTTAAAGTGACTATATGACTGTGCAAACAAAAAATCCAGGAAAAAACATCAAAATATTCCTGAAATAGCACCGTACACCAACGCTGTGTGCAAAAATCCCAGTGGGATGCAAGTCAACAACAAGAAAACTTAGATTAAGGCCATCAGTCTAACTCCGTACTACAATAAACAAAAACATAGCTAGCCCAAAAAAACTTTTAGAAATCACCAAAATAAAGCCATAAATGCAATGTAACAGTGATCATAGGTACTGTGACCGAATTTTAAACAATAAACTACATAAATAACATGTAACACCAAACCCTAGAGCCATGGCTGGCTGCATGAGTTACTCCACAAACAACAGGAGCATCAGTCGGAGTATCACATTTTTCAATGCACCTTTAAGATCAGCACACTAAATCAAAATACAGATAATACTTTGCAGTGGTCATCCGGAGCGAAACATTTTATTTTATTTTAGGCCACTGAATAGCAGTGGCAGCTAGGGGTGTACAACTCCTCTAGAGCAGTTTTGGTGGTTGAACACAGTACGGTTGGGACGGAACAGTTAATGTAGGCGACCGGGAGTCCTCAACACGGGCGGATGAATCAATAATTGACATCCATAGGCACAGTACCCATGATAGCAGCGATGCAAGAGTGATAATGAGCCGATGCGATTGTCTAACCTAGAGTCGCAACGATTGAAGGGCGATTTCATCCGATCGTCCTCACCTGGCGATCATCAACCCTCGCCCTGGCGATCATAAACCCTCACCTGGCGATCATCAACCCTCACCTGGCGAAGCAATGGTCGCAGAATCTTCCCCGTTCATCGTCGGCGAGGGTGGCACTGAATGGTTGCGCAACGAGCAGCAGATCGCCCCGGGAGAAGCTGCCCCGAGCAGCACGGAGCCCTCTCCCCTTGCCGGGGCTGGAGAACCTCTCCACCGTGCTCAAAACAACCTCCTCCTCCTCCTCACCCATTTGCTGTCTCGACCAACGGAGCCCCCAATACAGCACGAACGTGTCAATGTGCGTTGTTTTAAATGTGCAATCGGACGGGCGCGTGTGGCGGTGCTGCGAGAGAGTTGCGCCGAGTGGAGCCGCCAGCTGCGGCGTCTGTCCCTTTCACTGATGAGCGAGGCCGCTGCGGTAACACGAATCCCCCCCCCCACTCTGTGCTCCCAGGACAAGGCACCTCGGGGTCCAGCCTGCATCGGGATCTTTCCAACTCCAGAATCCTCCAGAATGAACGCAGCCTGCCTCTCAGACATTATCACTGCAATGGCAAGAATCGCGAAATGTATCGTTGAAGTTGGATCAATGTTGCGTTGTACTGGATTGTACTAACTCTTTTAAAGGTCTGGAGCCGACAGATTAATTTAATTCTGCCTATGGCTCTCCTATATATAGGAGCTTCATCAGTCATGGTCAATCCACTGCTGGATGAAGGGCTCTCCAAGCCCCTCCGCCTACCTGCTGCTGCTGCTGCAGCTGCCACAGACTCGCGGTGATAAACAGCACGCGACTCACGCGTCAGCTCGCCAGTCACGCAGACAGATGCTGACCGTGGCAGTCTGAGCGGCTGTTGTCAAGAATGCTGTTAGCAGTTGCTTCATTTAAGCCGGAACAGTCTTGCAGTGGCATGTGTGGTTGTGGATAGCTGCACCTTGTAGTCTCGTGGCGATGCCTTATGCTGGTAATTGTGATTAGTTTTCCCAAAAATGCCAGACTGAGTCTCCCGACTTTTTTTCAGGGGTTGGGTCCTGCCATTTGGAGTCTGCGTGTCTCTCTCTCCCTGTGGTCACGTAGGTCTATCTACGGGTCCGTAAGTTTTTCCTCCTCATTTAGAATCATCAACACGCGTTTCGAGTTTTCGCCTGCTCTCCATTTCCACGTGATAAGTCGCTTCGTTGAGCTACCATTTGCGAGAGCCAGGTCGCTTCTGAAAAAGCGATGAAATTACTCAGTGCGCCTTACCTGGCTAAAAAAAGAATAGTTTTAGTTTAATCCCTACTCGAAGCCAGCCTAGGAAAATGCAGCGAGAGACATGAAAGCTTTAACATAGCCATTTCTGTGACCAGTCACAAGCTAATCGCTCAGCTATTTCAATGCTGAATTCTATGCTAATTCCTTTGTCAAGGGGTGCCTCTGTGGATGTGTATGCTTTGACTTTAACATAGCCATTTCTGTGACCAGTCACAAGCTAATCACTCAGCTATTTCAATGCTAAATTCTATGCTAATTCCTTTGTCAAGGCGCTCTGTTTCTTCTCACACAACTTAAAGGTCGCGATCTGAGCTTGGCTGTGTTCGCTCCAGCACTGTCCTCCAGACAGTCTCGTCCCTTCACCTGATGAAGGCCGCTTGTGTTGTGGCCGAAACGTCGTGAGAATTTTATTGTGTCATTTTATTTTATCAATTTATTATTTTATTCTCATTCTACGTGACTTTACCGAAAGAACCAAAGGAGACACGAAAGCATTGAGCACGAGGAGACGACGCGTCTCAGTTGTGCGTGAGCCCCGGCACTGCGTGGCAGGGGCAGTCACGGGCAGCAGCGGTGGTCTGTGATGGAGTAGAGGACTGGATGGTGCCCACAGCTGTGTACCACAGCTTACTCCATGACTTCTTGAAGAAGAAGAAGAAGATACAGTATATATGTAGCATATATCGATATAAGTGGTGCACTATTTTACAGTTATCAGGCGGGCTCCGATTGATGCAATGGAAGTCAGTTAATTTTCAATATAGCATAACAATCACTGATAGAGGCTCCCACTTGAAAGTGAGTAAAAGTCATACATTTCAAAGAATCCCAATGTGAACGTCTATGATGGCCATGTGGCTGTGATGGCCAACATCAGCAACCACTCTTTTGTCATTGTAGTCACAGCAGGACAATGCATCGAGTCAATCAGTGTGGCACATGCAAGCTGGTACCAGGATAAAGTGTTAGTTATACCCCAAGTGGAAATTAAAGTGCTTATTTTGTACGATTTTATGCTGCACGATCGTCAACGAATCCCGGACGATTGCGGATGCACAGTGAAGCCCAGCTGGGTAGTGAACCTGTGTAGTGAACCAGGGTAGTGAACCTGTGTAGTGAACCTGTGTAGTGAACCAGGGTAGTGAACCTGTGTAGTGAACCTGTGTAGTGAACCTGGGTAGTGAACCTCTATAGTGAACCTGTGTAGTGAACCTGTGTAGTGAACCAGGGTAGTGAACCTGTGTAGTGAACCTGTGTAGTGAACCTGGGTAGTGAACCTGGGTAGTGAACCTCTATAGTGAACCTCTATAGTGAACCTGGGTAGTGAACCTCTATAGTGAACCTGTGTAGTGAACCTCTATAGTGAACCTCTATAGTGAACCTGGGTAGTGAACCTGGGTAGTGAACCTCTATAGTGAACCTCTATAGTGAACCTGGGTAGTGAACCTGGGTAGTGAACCCGTGTAGTGAACCTCTATAGTGAACCTCTATAGTGAACCTCTATAGTGAACCTCTATAGTGAACCTCTATAGTGAACCTGTGTAGTGAACCTGGGTGGTGAACCTGTGTAGTGAACCTGGGTAGTGAACCTCTATAGTGAACCTCTATAGTGAACCTGGGTAGTGAACCTGTGTAGTGAACCTGGGTGGTGAACCTGTGTAGTGAACCTGGGTTGTGAACCTGTGTAGTGAACCTGTGTAGTGAACCTGGGTGGTGAACCTGGGTAGTGAACCTGTGTAGTGAACCTGTGTAGTGAACCTGTGTAGTGAACCTCTATAGTGAACCTCTATAGTGAACCTGTGTAGTGAACCTCTATAGTGAACCTGGGTAGTGAACCTCTATAGTGAACCTCTATAGTGAACCTCTATAGTGAACCTGTGTAGTGAACCTGTGTGGTGAACCTCTATAGTGAACCTGGGTAGTGAACCTGTGTAGTGAACCTGTGTAGTGAACCTGGGAAGTGAACCTGGGTAGTGAACCTGGGTGGTGAACCTGTGTAGTGAACCTGTGTAGTGAACCTGGGTAGTGAACGTGGGTAGTGAACCTGGGTGGTGAACCTGTGTAGTGAACCTGTGTAGTGAACCTCTATAGTGAACCTCTATAGTGAACCTGTGTAGTTAACCTGTGTAGTGAACCTGTGTAGTGAACCTCTATAGTGAACCTCTATAGTGAACCTGTGTAGTGAACCTGTGTAGTGAACCCGTGTAGTGAACCTGTGTAGTGAACCTCTATAGTGAACCTCTATAGTGAACCTGTGTAGTGAACCTGTGTAGTGAACCTGTGTAGTGAACTTGTGTGGTGAACCTGTGTAGTGAACCTGTGTAGTGAACCTCTATAGTGAACCTGTGTAGTGAACCTGTGTAGTGAACCTGTGTAGTGAACCTCTATAGTGAACCTGTGTAGTGAACCTGTGTGGTGAACCTCTATAGTGAACCTGGGTAGTGAACCTGTGTAGTGAACCTCTATAGTGAACCTCTATAGTGAACCTGTGTAGTGAACCTGTGTAGTGAACCCGTGTAGTGAACCTGTGTAGTGAACCTGTGTAGTGAACCTCTATAGTGAACCTCTATAGTGAACCTCTATAGTGAACCCGTGTAGTGAACCTGTCTATGGTGGACCTGTGTAGTGAACCTCTATAGTGAACCTCTATAGTGAACCTGTGTAGTGAACCTGTGTAGTGAACCTCTATAGTGAACCTCTATAGTGAACCTGTGTAGTGAACCTCTATAGTGAACCTGTGTAGTGAACCTGTGTAGTGAACCTCTATAGTGAACCTCTATAGTGAACCTCTATAGTGAACCTGTGTAGTGAACCTGTGTAGTGAACCTCTATAGTGAACCTCTATAGTGAACCTGTGTAGTGAACCTCTATAGTGAACCTGTGTAGTGAACCTGTGTAGTGAACCTCTATAGTGAACCTGTGTAGTGAACCTCTATAGTGAACCTGGGTAGTGAACCTCTATAGTGAACCTCTATAGTGAACCTCTATAGTGAACCTGTGTAGTGAACCTGTGTGGTGAACCTCTATAGTGAACCTGGGTAGTGAACCTGTGTAGTGAACCTGTGTAGTGAACCTGGGAAGTGAACCTGGGTAGTGAACCTGGGTGGTGAACCTGTGTAGTGAACCTGTGTAGTGAACCTGGGTAGTGAACGTGGGTAGTGAACCTGGGTGGTGAACCTGTGTAGTGAACCTGTGTAGTGAACCTCTATAGTGAACCTCTATAGTGAACCTGTGTAGTTAACCTGTGTAGTGAACCTGTGTAGTGAACCTCTATAGTGAACCTCTATAGTGAACCTGTGTAGTGAACCTGTGTAGTGAACCCGTGTAGTGAACCTGTGTAGTGAACCTCTATAGTGAACCTCTATAGTGAACCTGTGTAGTGAACCTGTGTAGTGAACCTGTGTAGTGAACTTGTGTGGTGAACCTGTGTAGTGAACCTGTGTAGTGAACCTCTATAGTGAACCTGTGTAGTGAACCTGTGTAGTGAACCTGTGTAGTGAACCTCTATAGTGAACCTGTGTAGTGAACCTGTGTGGTGAACCTCTATAGTGAACCTGGGTAGTGAACCTGTGTAGTGAACCTCTATAGTGAACCTCTATAGTGAACCTGTGTAGTGAACCTGTGTAGTGAACCCGTGTAGTGAACCTGTGTAGTGAACCTGTGTAGTGAACCTCTATAGTGAACCTCTATAGTGAACCTCTATAGTGAACCCGTGTAGTGAACCTGTCTATGGTGGACCTGTGTAGTGAACCTCTATAGTGAACCTCTATAGTGAACCTGTGTAGTGAACCTGTGTAGTGAACCTCTATAGTGAACCTCTATAGTGAACCTGTGTAGTGAACCTCTATAGTGAACCTGTGTAGTGAACCTGTGTAGTGAACCTCTATAGTGAACCTCTATAGTGAACCTGTGTAGTGAACCTCTATAGTGAACCTCTATAGTGAACCTCTATAGTGAACCCGTGTAGTGAACCTGTCTATGGTGGACCTGTGTAGTGAACCTCTATAGTGAACCTCTATAGTGAACCTGTGTAGTGAACCTGTGTAGTGAACCTCTATAGTGAACCTCTATAGTGAACCTGTGTAGTGAACCTCTATAGTGAACCTGTGTAGTGAACCTGTGTAGTGAACCTCTATAGTGAACCTCTATAGTGAACCTGTGTAGTGAACCTCTATAGTGAACCTCT